AAGTTTTCTTGTCAAAGGTCTTTTTTCTCTTCTTGTTTTTGAGTTTTCGTGGTATTATTTTTATGGAAGCTAACTTTGCAACTAGCAGATTCTTGAGCATGTTAGGTACATGTCGCTTCCTTATTTCCTGCGGCACATTACTAACCATTACATACACACAATGGCTAATTCTGTTGAATCTAGAGGCTACCGATTTTATGCTTAAATTCTACCCTTATATTGATTTTATGAATTTCTTTGCTGCTGTAACATTACTGAGTAAAAGTAGATAACTCATCTGTAAAGAACACAGTTAAATTGCGCCACCATCACTACTGAGCATAGTTTAGATAAACCACTTAAAATGCGACATACTGATTTTATTATCATTTTAAATAACGGTCCTTGATATTGCGACCTTGCATCAAATCAAAAGAGCCGATGTTTCATTTGTTCGAATCGTCACAAAATCAAATAACACGAGTAAAAGTGAGAGTATATCTTATCCTAAGTGCCTATGCTGTTTATTGTTCACATAGTTTTTTAGTCAATCTATCCCCACGATTTTACTGTGCGACATCGAATGCAATCAAGGATTTCAAAAGAAGCATACCAGCAACATCATGCAAGATGTTGTACAGATTCATGGACATTTACCGAAATGTAAACTGTTTCCTAAATCTTCCTTGACTTTTATAGTATGATATCGAACCCCAAATTTCGCCCCATGAAAGAAAGCAAAAGTGTAAGCAAGTCATTTTTTCTACAGATGCTTCCGTTTAGTACAGCATCTTACCATAATATATGTATCCGAAACATCCCCAACACATTTTTTTCCGTCTTAAAGCAAAGTGTGATAAAAAGGTGGTTAAATACGGCTCAGTCAAATCATCAATTTTTCTATAGTGTATGACAACTGTTCTGATTCTCTCACAGTGAAATACTGGGCCTCAAGTACACAAAAAGAACACAGTTTAATGCCAGAATAGTTGGGGCATTAATGAATAACAGCAAATCGAATCAGTTGCTATGATGCAAAACTAATGTATTAGAAAGCAAGATGGTTGACTAAATACAGTTTTTTAAATAAGCAATGATTAGAAGAAATATTCCCAACAGAATGTGTCAGAAATTCTGCCTGGCAGTCAGAAAAACAACAACAAAAGACTGGCCTCACTCTGCAACCTTGAGTTCTGTAAAACGATATCACAAAGCAAGACAAAGCCCTTTCGACAACATTCCAGTATCATAAAATAAAATAAAAACTGAGAAGGTGAATCTCAGTCAAAGTAAAGAAAGTAATATAGATTTTATCAAAGAATCTTGTGAGATATCAGAACACAAAGAAATCTTGGATATAGAGTAACGTTTATAACAAGGTAGAAACTCAAGGAGCAGTGGAAAAATACTGTTAAATGCGACTGTTGTGAAGATTTTTTCCCAGAGTATATCTTCACACCCTATAATCAAAAATGTTTCACTTTGGGTCTAATTTATCCCTATACGTAGTTTGTTGATAATCGTATCGCTCCTTACCCACTCTCTGTTTAGAATACTCAGTGATTTCAGTTTCATATCTAACTGGTTACTCGTAAACATCTATCATCAGAAAATTGTGGATATCTAATCTAGATCTTCATTTGCCAAACCTGTCGAAAGATTCTGAACAATGGCTTGTTTATTAGCGTCTGTCGACAATGTGTGTTTGGTTACAATGGCTCAGGTTAAAGAAAATCCGCTCAGTCGTTCTTTATTCAGAAGTTTTGTTGAACTGTGGAGACACTTACTAGAAATCCTAAAACAGTTTGTTATATGAACTGGCACATTCGCCTATACAAATACCTGTGCAACACAAATAACGGTGGGATATATCTAATAAACAAACTAAAATGGAATTACTTATTACAACAGTACCAAAGCTTTACACATATATTAACAACCGTGGGAACAGCTGCCATAATGCCCACAAATTATTTTACGTAGTCTGGTACACTAAGTCGAATTCCTTCGAGGAAAACAACCCTAGCGGACAGTCAGAATAAACTAGAACCTTTTGCGGAAAGGTTTCATCAAATGACTTCTAGTATTTAACCCTTCATTTATAGTTATTCTGTCAATTCGTTATACTATAATGAACAGTATAGTTAAAAAAGTATTTTTATTCAATGCCCCGTTCGGAGTATTAATTCTGCTTTCCTACCACCCATCAGGTAATCATCTTTCACCTTCTAAGAGAGGCATACAATGAAATCTTTTTCCTCATACGTACAAGAATACTCCAGTATTTTAAGAGCTTTCAAATCATGCATTGACAATGTCGTCCTATTTTCAAGCAATATTAAATTCACTATGGCCCATTTCCATAACTATTGTGACTCATTTAGTCTTACTGTTCAACAAATGTTTCTTCGACATTAAAAATACGTTTGCTCATCTTAAAGTAAAAACAGAGCTTACCTAAAGAATAAAGAATGTGGTATAGGAGAATTTAACTGTCACAGTACCTCCATTTTCTATAGGATTCCAAACAAGCTGAGTTAAAGGAGCTTACAAATAAATAGCTCAGCTGACCATTTGACTTTGCTAATGATACCACTAAGCTCCACGATCAAATATCAAAGGTCTGAATAAAGCAAGCAATTTTCATTTTGTAGTTTATGTTGTAAATAGTAAGTCTATTTATCTGCCCTTTACCTCCCTTAGCCGGTTGTAAGACGGACAGTTGGACGTGAGGGTAGCAACCCCATCCTGTAAAAATCACCACTGCTACTGACACTTCAAAGCTCAAGCTTGAAGGCCTATGTTCCACTGGGAACTTAGAGTAATAAAATTAAGTAATAATTAATAACTGTGTTCATCTGGATGGAAAATTTTAGACAGTAAGCTGAATGCCTCATTTATGAAAGCAACTGTGTAATCAGCACATTATTTTTCAGGTGCTGTGATAAAAAATTATATCTGTCAAAATGCTAATCATTCTTAGACCTTTACTAATAATGTGGTGTTTGCTGCATAGATGAAGATCAATAGGAAGCGGTCAAAACTTGAAATCAACATTTTAAGTCAATGGCTTCAGGAGTAGAAGTGTTTATTCCACAAATCTGGGTTTAATTTACCTTGTGATCTGGAAATAATCTCACTGGACAACTTTTCGTCCTTTTGTTTGACCAACCAATCAGAATAGTTTATTGTCCACTGACCTAGCCAATTTTTAAAGTGGTTAAAAATGTATAAATATGTATAAATTCCTTACTGAAAAAGTTCGTTAACCCTTCTCTTCTACTGTTACATCAATACAAATTTCTCAATTTGTCTGAATTCATTCATAATCAATGCAAAAGTGTAGTGATTTTCATTATTATTCTGGTGCTATTGAGGTCACAAGAACGAAAAAAATAACCATAGAGCACTTAAAATATTTAAGCCTAGTGTAGATTAACTGAGATGTCTACAAGTAACCATTTATTATAAGATGAAGTCAAAGGGCTTCTCATTACTTTATGTCATAAGGTATACTTACATTGTATTGTATTAATAACTGCGATAAACTTTAGCACTAATAAAACTTCTGATGCACTGAAAAATGAATTCTCATTGATAAAATGGATGAGAGTATTGGAAATGTGTGCTTGATTGATGAATGTATGATAACATGATGCTGCAAGGGGATACTGAAGACTAAAGGGTTCAAGGAAATCTGTAAGAAGCCATAGACTTAGTTTTCTTACTTATTAATACTAGTCAGCAAGGCGTATTTTCTGTCTTGAAGGGACTAATGTCCTCTCTGAGATTCGAATCCTTGTCACCCAGTGCTTCAGTCAGAGACGGTATTACAGTGTTATTTGGACACACACATTCAACCTGCTGTAAGTGTAATGGGGGAGCAACCAATGTCATCGGTCTAATCCTTGCAATGGTGTTAGATAATCAACCAGAATTTTTGCTATTCCCTTGAGTTTCGTGCGGAACATAGGACTACAAGCTTGACGCTTGAAGTTTTACCAGCGGTACTGTTTATTTTTGTGGGATGGGAATGTGAACCTCACAACCGTCCTTCCCTCTTTACCAGTATTCCTTCCAGCTAAGCGAGGTTTAGGAGTGCACTGGTATCCGGGATCGAACCCCGGACTACATGAGTAGTTGGCAAGCATTCTACCGTTGTACCGCCACTGATATAAGTTTTTAAAAATAACATAATACATTTCAATTGTACGATACACAGATATATATATATATTATTACTCATTTCATTCATCTTCAAAGAGAAAATGATTGGTTTTAGAGTGTGTACAACGTGTGTGTGAAGGGGATAATAATATTAATAACAATATTTATCCATTATTGAAGTTTTCTGATAGTATCAGTAAAAGAGTTGAAGGGATATTATTAAAAGTTCCAATATTAATAATAGCAGTAGTAGTAGTGTAATAACAGTAGGGACAATAATGGAAACAGTAAGGGGTAATGGAAAATTTAATTGACCAGAGAAAATAAATTGTTAGTTGTTCATGTCGAAAAAAAATATCTTGACTTACACGAATGAAATGCAAACCATCCTGCTCCTTTGCTCAGTATGTATATAAATTATATAAATTTTAAATCTTATAAGTGTCCGCAGTTGAAAAGAATTTGGAAGAAATTCTGAAGTGGAAAATAATAATAATAATAATATGAGGATGGAAGTAAGATAAATCCCTATATTCACTTATGATCATAAAATAGACAATAATGACCAAGAAAACGGTATGAATAAGTATTATTGGGGTTAAAAAAATTCTCCCTCAAAATCATTTACACTGTACAATAAACATGTACTGGATGAATAGAATTTTCACAGGATAATTTAATTGAAGGTATCATTTTTTAACTCATTCTACTGGTTGTTCATGGGAATGTTAAATTTTTCCCTACGTGAATTTTTGTTTTAATAATAATTAAGACATGTAGTAGATTTAACTCCAATTTAACTCAGAAGAGAATTACTGCCTACGGTTTCATTCAACTAAGTGTACTTCATTTATCTATGTTGAATTCAAGTGGATGGTAAACTTAGAATTATCGACAATCGTACTATTGGCAGTATTAATGTATACATTCCTGTCACTATTATTCTTATTATCATTACTTGTGATAATATTACAACTGTGAGTATTATTAATATCATTTGAAATATTGTGTGAATGTTGTACTTCTTCTGAAGGTATTTGATTTCCTTTGAAATCGTCCAAGCATGTTGTATCTGGTGTCATTGTTATACTTACTGATGAAGTATTTAGATCATTGGAATTATTATTTTTAATTATCCCAATTTTCGATTGACATTGTGCAAGTTTCACTAATTCTGGTGCATAATGTTGTACTGTTGATAGGTTAACAGAATTCTCATGAACAGAATATGAGTGCGTTAGTAAATGTGCAACAGATTTATTATAACTACTATTACTATGACTATTAATATTACTTGGTATTATGTAAATGAATGGTGATAATAGAGTATTATTACTGCTATTAATACTACTCATACTCTGAATACCAGTGTCATTTGTAGGATTAGCATGAAATGGTGGTGACTGTAGGGATACTTGTTCAAGTTGTTTATTCTGCTGGGATGTATTATTAATGTTACTTGTATTATTATTAGTATTATTATTATCACCATTATTATACACATTAGCAGTAGGAGTAGTAGTAGTATTAGCAGTAGTAGCATTCGATGGCATTTTTGTCCATGTAATAACATGCGGATATTGGTTTTGGTAATTATTATAATAGTAATACAAAAGATTAGACCCCATAATATCATTTGCATATGCTGGGACAGGTAGATAATACTGTGTAGAAATAAACTGATTCGCATTACTACTGTTAATACTATGATTTGTAGAGTTGACAACAAAACAAGGTGTTTCAAATGTATTTATTTGTTGTTGTATAGATGTACCAGGAAACGGCACATCATCACTATGCCCGTTATTCCTGTTTTTACTATGCTTCAAATTAGTGAAATCACATGACTCATTTATACTAGATGCAACTGTTTCATTTGAGCTGTTGACGATTTTCTCTCGGGTGTTATAAATCATATTATTACAGTTATTTGTTAAATAACAAGCCTTTAATTCTTCGTCATATTGTAGCATTAAATTAACTCCGCTTAAATCATGTGGTGGCTGGCTACCCTGATGAATATCACAATAATTATTAGCAATATTTGAAAGAGATGTGGAAGTTGTCAAAAGATTTTGTTTAATCATTGGTATCAAGGACAAATTATGCATAGGGTTATTTCCGCTATTTATAATGGTTGGCAAGTATGTACTGATAGGTGAAGATGACGCAGATGAGGAACATATTGACTGATATACTGTATTTATTTTTGGTAGGACTGAGGCCGGTACTACTGAGTCATTTGTATGAAGTACATTTAAACGATTATCAACAAAAAATGCGGAAGATGCCATTAAATTTGGCATTAATGATGGCTGCATACAATTATCAGAGTTTTCAATGGTTCCAGCATTTATTCCAAATACAGTTGAATCAATAACATTATTATTATTATTAAAAGTCTGTGGTGAATCCAATTGATTTAAACTGTCTATTTTGTCTATCCACCTTGTAAATACTTGCCGATTGTTTTCATCACGTTTAGCTTGACTTAACTTTAACCACTCCAATAATTTCTCTCGTCCTGTGTTACTACTGTCGCTATTGGATTTTCTGGAATGGGCATCGCTTCCACCCAGACCTTTTTCTTCTTCTATTGGGTGTAATTTTAGATTTAAGTTATTATTATCATAAGAATTACTGTAATTACCATTATTATTGTCCTTATGAGTCGTCGTTAGCTCAAGTTGTTGAGGATGGTATTTTTTTGGATGATTATGTAATTCATTTGATGGTAAAATTTCATTTTTTGAGTCAGTTGTTATTATCTTTGTTGGTGTCAAATCACTCCTACATATCCCATCCGTACACTTATTTATGCAGTTAGGTATATCATTCCAACAGTCAGTATTGTTTAAGTCAAGAATTTTTGTGTGAACTTCTAAAATATTATTAAATATTGAACAATTTTGTTGATTTCTTCCCGAAATACTATTATTATTATTATTGTTACTATTGTTTTTGATCATACTACTCATCAAAGGCTTCTTTAATTTTACAGGTATGTCTATTGTTGTTTTAACGACGTGTACTGCTAAATCAGTCTTCTAATAATAGTTAAGTTATTGTTTTTAATTCCCTTTTACAACTTCACAGATAACGGGGGGAAAAACAGTAACACGCCTGTGTAGAAAGACAAGTTGTAAAAGCATACAATTATAACAAATACATGAATGATAATATATTCTCACTACTAACATATATCAAACAAATCAATCAACTAATCAATGCCTAAATATTTAAATAAATAGATACTCATTATTTTACAAGAAAATACCACAAATAACATGAATTTCAATGAATAAGTCTTAATACCTACATAATTAATTTCAGCAATACTTTTGATTAGCTACTAGGTAGTAATTAACGTCATACATCCAGTTCTTAGTTTGGTGCAGAATGAATTCTATCAGTCAAGTACGCAGTGTGGCCGCTACTCCAAGTGGATCGCGGACACGTGTTGCTGACTACTGTCGAAAAGCATGAAACCAGGGTTCAAGGCTTCCTTGCTGATTGCTTCCAACTTTACACTTTATTGTTAATCTATTAGATTTAGTGTTATTTCAAGATAGAATAAAGATAGATAGATTTTAATAAAAGGTGCAGTAACGATAACCTAATATTTGAAAGGCCGATTAATGAACAACGAATATTCCTTTCGATAAATTCGGCATCGGAGTATTACTAATACTACCAGTGTCATTTGTAGGATTAGCATGAAATGGTGGTGACTGTAGGGATACTTGTTCAAGTTGTTTATTCTGCTGGGATGTATTATTAATGTTACTTGTATTATTATTAGTATTATTATTATCATCATTATTATACACATTAGCAGTAGTAGTATTCGGTGGTATTTTTGTAGACGTAGTAATCTGATAATGGATTCACTGAAAAGAATATTCTTTGTTAATTAATCAGTCTTATAAATTCTTAATAGGCATATTCAATCAGTATTTGAAAGACAGTTCTGAGAATGATTTCTTAATTCACTTTTTGACATGCTCAGATGATAAGAAATGAAAAATGTATTCTACCTATTCTACAAAAGATATTCTAATTTTTCAACGGATATACTAAATTTCCAAGTGTTGGTTACAGGTATTTGGTTTATCCCACTGATTTCACTAATGACCGCGACTGGCGGTTGCGTTATATATTGTAAATTGGTAGAAGTTCGAATTTGTAAGCTGACCGTTGAATTGCGTCTCAGTGGGTGAATGGTCGACTGGCTGGCCTTGCAGCCTGAAGGTCCTGGGTCCAGCCCTGGCATCGAGATCATGAGTGTGTACTCTTGGAGTTCTAAACTAGTACAAAACGGTTGTTGAATACTCCTTGGTTTTTGATGGTTCTCTAAGTGAAGTCAGTTCAAAATCATCTGACCTAATCAATATAACATGTGTTCTTCTTAGGGTTGTGAACTTCACCCATACTACATAATAGAAGAGTGAAAATTGGATTTCTGTTGCTAGAAGTAGTTTAAGCTGATGACCATATGAATAGACACTTTTATTTACATTCTCTAAACAAATATTCCCTTGATACAGAGTAGCCCAATATTTCGCCACTACTTTTGTTAGTTTCTGTGTGACTAACTGCGTTTCTAATAGATTCGAAATGTATATTTTACCTCATTTCTTTGATTGCTCGCAGAGATATAGTTTACCAATGAATTCAGAACAGTTGCAGTAATTTCTTCAGTGTTCAGATAAATTTCGAGGAACCAATCTAAGAAAACTTCAAGGATACTGTGGCCTTCAGAATCCTGAAACTCCTTTTATCCGTCCTCGGCTGTGACTACAACATTCTGTTAAGGTAGAAAGAATTCAAGACTGTACAGTATTTTTATCAAGTTACGATAGGATTATTTTAAAAACAGTTATTTGGTATTATAGAGAATATTTGAAGCTTCTGTTGAGATATTTTAAGAACTTCACTCCTGCCTGAGATTGGATTTCAATCTGCAGAACATCTGTAACTTTAGAAGACGAGGGAGTTGGTAAAGAAATGTTTATTTGAAATTTGGTATCTCTATATAGCGAAATTATGTACACATTGTTTCCAAATCGTCATTCGCACAGATGTTCCGTGTTGCGGTACTACTACCGTTTGTATTGTGTTTCTTTGTCATCTTTTCGTGTCTCCCATGTTTGGCCGCAACACTGGTTCATTTCCTCTCCTTGACGTCAAACGGAGAGATATCTCCGCTATTTGATGTTTTTTATGCCAATGAACGTCTTTTTATAGGCTACTGATAAATCTTATCAGTAACACACACCACACATCCAATAATAATCTATGCATAATCCACAGTGCACTCCAGTAAGAAATCAAAATATTTCTTCAAAACTACTCAACTATCATTGTTCCACTGGATGAAAAAAGTGTCTTTGATTATAATTCACCCCCCCCCCGTACTCTCCTAGCTGCTCTATAGGGAAATTCAGTTTTTGAATCTTGTATCTTATGATGAAATCCCTTGCTTAGTCATTCCGTTGGATTATATTGGGTAGACAGATTTCCTGTGATTTATCTAGTCTCAGTTTCCTTGAATTGTATTGTTATACAGTTTTCATCTTGATCCCTTCAGTTATTGCTAACATGATGAGTGATTTATTTTGTATGGAATATCTTCTTATGGACTTGCATTTGTACACTTCCATCCACCATTGTCTTGATCGACAGAACCAGAAGCGTCAGTCTGTACATATCCAAGATCCTGTGCCAATTTGATTTCCGTGAATATGCTATCAGTTACTTTTAATTTTCCGTTTAATTTGCTTTGATGCTTATGATGATGTCCATGTATCAGCTTCACAGCTTTCCTGTGGTAATTATTAATTTTGAAGACTGAATTTGTCGTACTTACAAGGTGACAGCAGTACCAATCCTGAGAACGCCAGGTATCATATCCACTCACTTGTAGAAACTTTGTTTTGTAAACGCTAGTGGATTTATCTTGTTTTATCTGAACTGACAGATGTAAAGAGAGTGATACCGGTGGGATCTGAAAATAACGAGGAGTGAAAGATGCTCAAATAAAATGTGACTAAAAGTCTCCATTGGTAAACAGTAGTGCGCGAGGAAAGCAAAGGAGACAGAAAAGGCATCGGTGGTAAGTAACACCAGACAACTTTTTGGGTTTTCTAGGGAAACGAGCTGCAAGAAGCCAATCGCAAACTGAACGAATTGCAAGATGAGTGCTACTCTAATTACTACTTAAGATAGACGAAGAAAACGTTGAGAAAGCACTCTGAAGAGCAATTCGGCTGGCCTGTACTCATGTTAAATTTGCCAAACACCCATCAGTAAGATATAGACCGATCCTACAACTGTCATTGGGGTTATAAAAGCAGTCTGTAACCTAGAACGCGTTGAACTATCGAAACGTGATGAGAGATGTGTTCAAGTATGTTAGTGACAAATTATTGACTGGGTTAACTAAAATAATTCGTGGGAATCTGCAATGGTCCCACCGGAATGACTCTAATCGACCTAGATATCAACTTATTGCATGGGTGAAGTTTCGACTAATTAGAATTTGCGGATGAAATGGTCATTCTAGGTGAAGACAGTGACGAAATCCAGTCTTCTGGACACCATAACTAAAAATCTTAGTGTATCTGTCATGCGCTTCACTCATATGATGTGTAAGAAGTTTCTACACAAATGGTCGGCACGGACTTCTAGTTCAAGAATAGGGGGTGAAATGACTAAACCTATTGAACACTCCCCTTTTTTGTAAGGTTGCATCAGACTGAATGGATTGGCTGGAGATGAAATCTCAGATTAGGCATAAGAGGTTTGTGTGGCACTACCCAGCTTACTTCATCTCTATTGTAGGTGTGATATTCGGTTTTCATTCAAAGGACGTGCATAGTGCTCAGAATTCCACTTAGACCCCTCTTTATCGTTAACATGGCAGTTGAAAGTAGAAGATATGACGAGGGTACCTGTCTTTGAAAAAAGATGTTTGTGTTCTATCCTCTGCGTTAAGAAGTATAACATGGTGAGTAATACTGAGGTTAGTTGCAGAGTGTTAGATGAGGTGGGAAAGATATTCGATGAAGCAGTACCAGTTGAGGTGGCTGAAACACGTGTTACGTGTGCTAAGCCACAGCCTTCCACGTTGAGCAACGCCGAATGTCATTGGATTAGTCTAGGCGAGAGTTAGGAGTAGTCAAATCAAAACATGGCATCAACCGATGAAGTCCTTGATTGCTGGTTCGAACCACTTATATAGGCTATCTGAATTCTTCTGGACACCGAGAACAAATAGCTAGAGACTGTTGTTGATATGGTTCAAAAAAGTTCTGAATAGCTCAGATGCACGAGCTCTTTGTGATCTCCTACATGCACTGAATCCTATTTATTCTCCGTGTAATTCTTTATCCGGTACGTTCTCGCTTATAACTCAAAGTGTATTTCTATTATTCTCTACACGTATGTGAGCTTCATGAAGTATGTGAACTTCAACTACTACATATTTGTGTAAATTTTGACGTTGACAAAACGGTTCATCTTGTTGTGAGCCACTGAAAGAGGGCTGAAGAATGTAGGATAAAAAGGAGATAGGCTGCCAAAAACGGGAGACCTAGTTAGGCCTCTGCAAGAACTGACGTAGAATCATGCACTTGTCCACTCACGCCAAGTGAAATACTAAGTCGCATCATCCTGGAGAGAATAAAGGATGCACTGAATACAGAACTACGTCAACCCAAACAAGCTGGATTCAGGAAATAAGAATAAAACTTGGGCACTGTGGTAGAGTGTAATTCCATTATGGGTAAATTTTATTTTGATAGAGTCTCACAGTGTTATACAGTAATATTACTGTATAACACTGTGAGACTCTATCAAAATAAAATTTACCCATAATGGATTCAGGAAAGGCAAATCGTGTGCTGATCAAATTGCAACTCTATGCATCATCATCACAGAACAAAGTATAGAACGACAGTCAAACCTCACTCCATCT